GGGCGTAGTATGTTTGGATCCAGGGCTCGGGTCTGGGGCGACTTTCGCCTGGTTTTGGACGGCTGGGGAGGAGAGAACGAAAGGTTATGCAAAGCTCCATGCACCGCACGCCTTTCTCTCTTCTCTCGTTTGGAGAAAAGTCGGCCTCTGGGACCGGTGGTTTTCGAGAGAGTGAGGTGACCTCAGGCTTTACTAAGGTGCAAGAAGCCGGTTGAGGGGGCGACGTTGGAAGGCCGGTGGTGCAAGGCAAGGAGTGCAGTTTGCAGAATCAGACTCTGACCCCTGGAGCCTGACGCGCCAAACTCGGGGGCTCGGGAGAAGCCGCGGACACCGCGTCGCACCTGTTGTTGCCGTCACTCATCCCAATGAGCGGGCGGGGTGGCGCGGGCGGCTTGGACAAAAGCGTCCGCGCAGTCCCGCCCTGCTTCCCGCGCCTGCCCCGGGCCGGCTCCCCGAGCGGCTCCCGCCCGCGGGATCCGGCAGAATACCGCCTGGCCGCGGCACAGCCTTGGGAGTCGGGGCTTGATGAAGCCACTCGCGCCGGGGAGAGGGTGAGACCTGTGCCACTTGGCTGGCTCTAGCTCCCGGTAGTCTTGGGATTTCCTTTGAAAGAAGACTGCTTTTTAAGAAATATTTCTAAAAGGTAGCTGAGAATTATATATGTATTGCCATATAACAACATATGTATATGTATATGGCAAATACATATATTTTATTTTTTACTTTTCTTTTTTCATATATTTTTAAAGAGCAGCAATAATTGTTGAAAATTATGTAAGTAATAACTTTTGTACTCTATTGAGAAAGTTTGAGTTATTTTCAAGATAAAGGGTTAAAAAATAAGCAGTGTTTGGCTATTAATTTTAATCTGTTCAAAAATTAACTTCATATTATTTGTAAAAAATAAAATAGGGAACAGTTTCTGTTAATTGAATACAATTCAGCTAAAGCGTCCTAAAAGTCATTATACACTTCTGCATGCAATAATATAAGCTCATTTTCTCAAGTTTTAGTGTCTCTGGAAGCAGAATACAAACCTATTCAAATTAAAACATGTTCTAGAACAGAATAATTTTGCCGTTGAATGCCATTAGAACTGATCTTCTTTGGACATTTTTCCAGTAGTAATGATGGATTTGATAGGTATTACTATCCTTTTTCCCGTCTTTTTCTTCCTTCCCTTCCCTTCCCTTCCCTACCCTTCCCTTCCTTTCCCTTCTCTTCCCTCTCTTTTCTTTTCTTTTTTACTAATAATACTTATTTTCGAAGACTGTATTCACCACAGTAAGGTGTTCAGTCTGTGACACACAAATTAATCAACAAAATTTAGGAAACACTGACTTTAAGGTCTGTGTTGGGTACTAGGAATATAGTATGGTATTTCCCTCTTCTGCTTCTAGCTCTTTTAATTATTAAACCAAAATGAGTTTGATTTTAAAATTTAGAGAAATTATGTAGAATTATACAATTCTTTTTTTGTTTGTTTTGTTTTTATATTGGAAAACTATCAATTCAACTTACTAGACATTATAGAATTATTAAGTGCAGTACATAATGCTGTGTGCTATGGGAAATAAGAGGATTACACCTCTGTCCTTGAAATGTTTTTAACCTAGAAGGAGAGAAAAGACTACTCAAAATAATGCTTATCAGCGTTGGGCCTGGTTAGTACTTGGATGGGAGACCACCTAGGAATTCCAGGTGCTGTAGGTATTAAAAAAAATACTTATATCTAAAGATGCTTATAATAAATAAGATACAAGCCAAATAAGATAAGTGATATACGAACTATGATCAAAGATCTGTGGGAGCACAGAGGACAGCATGGTGAAGCCCAGTGTTCAGGGCTGGATAAGGCCACCATCAAGGCTGGAATGCTTGTCTGGGTGGGTAGGTGGGAGGAAAGGTATTGAGCCCCTGTCATGTACCCAGCACTGGCTTAGGCACATTCTTTTTAAAATCTTAGTTATTTCTTTCTCTTTGGAAATCTAAGTCTTAGGTAAAAATGACTCATGTAGTCATATTGTTAGTAAGTGGTAGATGCAGTTTTCAAAACTTAGTTCCATTTTACTTCATTGCCCATGCACAGTGCACTCTGCATGTTACTCATACTATGATTAGGACTTAGAATTTTATTCTGGAGACCTTTGCAAATAGAAGGCCATTGAAGATTATTGAATTAGGAAGTTACATAATCAGAGCCAAAATTTAGAAATATTCTTAGACCAAAGAATAATTTTCAAGGGGCTGGAAATAGAGAATTGAATTAGGAGGATACTTCTCTAGTGAAATGCAGTGGGGACCTAAACAAAAGCTGCAGCAGTGAGAATAAAATAACTGAGAAAGGGTTAAGGAAAACTGGAGGGGGACCTGAGACTTTTGGGCCTGGGCGATGAGGGAGAAGGATTGGTGAGGATCATTCAGAAATCTCAAGTTTTGGATACTAGAGATATAAAAATACAGCACATAAAACCTGAAAACCTAAATGTCCCATTTTCTTATGATTTGTGCTAGCATTCCAATGTCTCATTTGTTTTCTTCACACAGTCTGTTCAGAGCATGGTTTATTCAGGGATTTACCTAAGCCTATCCTTGCTTGCCTTCCCTTTACTGGCAGTTCTCCCATTCCTTCCTGTTTGAGTTTTCTAGCTACAGATTCCAATTCTTTTCTTTTTTTTTTTTTTACCACTTAAAAAAATTTTAATTAGTTTCAAGTATACAGTACGTTAGTTAGACATTTATATAGTTTATAAAGTGATCCCCCTAATTGTTCCTTCTCTCCTCTGGTTTTCCACCTAGCCATTTCATTAATGCTAACTGCATTCCCTATGCTGTGCTCCCCATCCCTGTGACCATCTATCAACTACTAATTCATACTTCTTTAATCTTTCACCTCTTTCTCCCAGCCTCCCAACACCCCCTCACCTCTGTCCATCACCATATTGTCCACTACATTTGTGAGTATGTTTGTTCTTTTTGTTCCTTAGATTCTGCATACAAGTGAAATCATATAATATTTATCTTTCTATGTCTGACTTATTTCACTTAGCATAATAACCTCTAGGTCTGTCCATGTCTTTGCAAATGGTAGGATTTCATTTTTTTTAATGGCTGAGTAATATTCCATTGTATATATGAACCATAACTTCTTTATCCAATTGTCTGTTGATGGGCATTTAGGTTGCTTCCATATCTTGGCTATTGTAAATTGTGCCGCCATGAATATTGGGGTGTATAGATCTTTATGAATTATTGGTTTGGTTTTCTATGGATAAATGCCCAGAAATGCAATTGCTGGGTCAAAAGGTATATCCATTTTTAATTTTTTGAGAAACCTCCAGACTCTTTTCTGTAGCGGCTGTACCAATTTGCAATCCCACCAACAAATATATGAGGGTTCCCTTTTCTCGGCATCCTTGCTAATGCTTGTTCTTTGATTTATTGATGATAGCCATTCTGACAGGTGTGAGATGATATCTCATTGTAGTTTTAATTTGCATTTCTCTGATGATTAGTGACCATCTTTTCATATGTTTATTAGCCAACTGTATTTCCTTTTTGCAGAAGTAGCTGTTCAGGTCTTCTGCCCATTTAATTTGATTGTTGTTTTGTTGTTGAGTTGTATGAGTTTATTATATATTTTGGATATTAACCTCTTATCAGATGAATCATTAGCAAATATCTTCTCCCAGTCAGTCAGTTTCGTTTTGTTGATAGTTTTTTTTGCTGTACAAAAACTTTTTAGTTTGATGTAATCCCATTTTTTAATTTTTTCTTTTGTTTCCCTTGCCCGGGGAGATATATCCGAAAAGAAATTACTGTTAGTAATATCAGAGAGTTTACTGCCTATGTTTTCTTCTAGAAGTTTTTTGGTTTTGGGTCTTACATTTAAAGCTTTGATCTATTTCGAGTCTATTCTTGTATACAATGTAGGAAGGTAGTCCAGTTTCTTTTATTTGCATGTATCTGTCCAACTTTCCCAACACTATTTATTGAAGAGACTGTCTTTACCCCATTGTATACTCTTACCTCCTTTGTCATTTATTAAGTGAGCATATAGGCGTGGATTTATTTCTGGCCTTTCTATTCTTTTCTGTTGATCAATGTATCTGTTTTTAAGCAAGTACCATGCTGTTTTGATTACTGTAGCTTTGTAGTATAGTTTGATATGAAGTAGTGTGATACTTTCAACTTTGTTCTTCTTTCTCAAGATTGTCATGGCTATTCGGGGTCTTTTATTGTTCTATATAAATTTTAGGATTATTTCTCCTAGCTCTCTGAAAAATGCCATTGGTATTTTGATAGGTATTGCATTGAATCTATAGATTGCTTTGGGTTGTGTGGCCATTTTAATGATGTTGATTCTTCCTACCCATGAGGATAATATATGCTTGCATTAGTTGTATCTTCTTCAATTTCTTATTTCAATGACTTATAATTTTCTGAGAACAGGTCTTTTACCTCCTTGGTTAATTTGATTCCTGATGCAATTGTAAATGGGATTTGTTTTCTTAATTTCTCTTTCTGAAAGTTCATCATTTGTGTATAAAAATGCCTCTGACTTCTGAATATTTTTTTTTGTAACCTGCTACTTTACTGAATTCATTGATCAGTTCTAACAGATTTTTGATGGAATCTTTAGGGTTCTCTATATATAGTATCATGTCATCAGCAAATAATGGGAGTTTTACTTCTTCCTTTCCAATTTGGTTGGTTGCCTTTTATTTCTCTTTCTTGTCTTATTGCTATGGCTAAGACTTCCAATACAATGTTGAAGAGGAGTGGTGAAAGTGGGCATCTTGTCTTGTTCCTGATCTTAAGGAAAATGCTTTTAGCTTTTTCCTATTGAGTATGATATTAGCTGTAGGTTTGTCATATATGGCCTTT